TTAAAAAATTCGAATATGATTAAATCAATCGATGATAATAATACATGGAGAAGACATCATTTACGCTTTAATGATGTCCATCTTCCCACTTCCACCTCGCGAGCATTCGCCTTTTTCCACCACACACCGATCCGCTGCACCGCCACGAACACGAAACAGGAGGCCCCACCGACACACGCGGCGGGTGCTCCGTCGGCCGCATCACCAAGCTTCGCACGCCAAGCATCTGCTTTCGCTGCATCACGTGCAGGACAGGAGAAAGCGGAGCACACAACCCACGGAATCTAACGGCTGCCGCCGTCCCCATCTCCTTTCCCACGCATCACCAACCGTCCGATTCATAAAATCGGGAGAGGGAGTCAAACACTAGCGCTCACTGTGGAGCTGCATCATCGGACGGTCCTGATGAAGGAGATTGCTTCAGAGTTGGGTCACTCTTTCACGTTACATCAGACGTTGAAACAATAACATTCGTTCTAAAGCATGTTAAGGTACGTATATTATATAAATAAATAAATATATATATATATATAATGCAAATTGGGCATTTAAGGATGCAAGCTGTGGAAGAAAAGTGCCAGCAAAACAAAGGTGTCGGTGAGGTTGGCGCCTGTCTCAACCCGTCTTTTGCCAAAGCAGCTGTACGACGTGAAAGGAAATGGCCACTTCACTTACGGCTATAGTATTTATTACATCTCACCGCAACCCTTCATCGTGACTTAAGATTCGTGCGCGCGGGACCAAAATGCCTCGACGGGCGTGAACCGGACCGGATCGACGTGCCGTCCCCGTTTCCTGGCGTCACCGGTGCTTTCCACGGCGGAAACCTACGTAATCGCAGGCCTCGAGAATGATTCCTCGTCTGCCACTGCAAGGCATGTGAGGAAGCTTTGGCTTCCACATTCTCGTAAAGCAGCGATCCGATTCCATGTCCACGTCCACGTCCAAAGGTTATAAAAGATGGGCCCCGTATGGGATCCACCACTATAATTACATGCATGCATTAATCATCTATATATATTCTCTCAATGCATGCACTGCTGGATCGGCTTTTACATAAAGCCGCTGCGTTGCACGACTTTAGACACGAGCCAAGCACGTGACGCACATCCGAAAGGGCCCGCCCCCGGCCCCCGATCCCAAGCCGCCTTTACGCTGAGTGGGCGCCATGTCACCCGGTCGCGAGTTAAGGCGACACCAAAGCTATCTTTTTCGGCCCACATAGTTGCAGGCCGTGATGGCATGTTATCGGTAAACCTCCTTTGTACTTTGTATGAGCAATCACCCTATGAGCTCGCTCGTATATATAAATGTCACGTAAACTTCATCCGGGTGCTAACATGGTTTTGTTGTGGTCATCGCAAAGATAAATATTGCAAGTATATAGGTATGTATTTGAGAGTTGATGCTGTTGTTTGGACCCCAAGCAGTGGGGTGGGGGACCTAAATGTATTTATTAAGGTCCCCAGAATAGTTTGGACCTTATAGATTTTGTGGCGGTTGGGTTCAGAAATGTGTATATCATGCTGGAGGTCCAGAAATAATTGGGACTTGGCGGCTTCTTGTTGTCATTGTTGGATTGCGACAATAAGTAGAAGCTGCATGCTGTTAAATCTAGTGCTACAACCAGGGTGGCGATCCTCGACCTACATGTTCAAAAACTAGATCTGATGCAAAAGATTTGGTAGATGAGGTGATCAAATCAAATGAGCATAAGTTCGATATTGATTGTTGTTGTGATATATCTTAGTCGTTAAACAAAAGATGGTAAATTTGGAACCAACCAAGGTTCGTTTTTTATTTCATCTTAAGATATCAACAATTTAGACTCTACAAAATTATATAGGAGATATTGGTGAACTCACACATCGTGGTCGAAGAGTCAATACGGGTTGATGTTTGGAGTTCTCGGTGCTCGAGGGTGCGTCTCTCGATTGGTCGGAGGAAGTACCGAGATCGAGTTGAATCAAAGGTCGGGATGGCCGCATCTCCGAAGGTGGCCACGTTCCTGCACACAGGCCTTGGTCGGGAGATTCCCAACTTGGGCCCCTCGTAGATTAAGTCAGTGGTCTTTATCCTTCTCTCTCTTTTTCGTCCCCTAGCCAGGTGCCGGTCATGAGATTTTATACTATTGCCCGAGGATCGATCATACGCGAATTTGCCGTGGTGGTCGATCTCTCAAGTGACGAGATCATACCTTCGTGCGGTCGTCGCCCGGTATGTACGGAACGATGCCATGTGACATCATCCCGAACTTTTCAGGATGAGACTTGCCAATGGGGCATCTCCCTGTATGGACTCTGGTTTGGAGAGAAAGACAACCCTCATGCTGACTTGGCAGGGGTGTGACGTGACATGGGTCGTGACGTGGTTGAAATCTAAAATATGTCTTATCATGAGACATATTGGATAGCATGTTATGTGATCGTTAAGTTGATATTATAATTTATATTTAGAATGATTATACGTACCATTCGATCATCAATATAATAGTGGAATCATGTGCTGAATTCGAGAGAAATAAAATAATAAGAGATAACATAATTAACCTCGTGGAGTTGAATAGATTTTTTATCATGTCGTGTTATCGATCACATAAATCTAAACCTCTCATAATTGTATCGACCAAAACTATAGTTAGAGTGTCGGTAAAGTAAAGCCGACGTGTCGGCTTAGAGATTAGCAAGAACAAGTAGAATTGACATGTGAGTAATTTTTTGCTTGTCATGTTCTGCCTATCAATTGTCTAATCTCTCTATTTTGTTTTGGGTTTTGTCTAATCTCGTTTCACATTTTGGGAAAATGTGTAGATTTGGATGTATCATGATTGAGAAATCGAGCATCAATTATTGTAAGTGTAAACTTTAATATGGTTCGTCTGATCTGTTGATTGATAGGCCGAAAGGATTGTAGAGAGAACACCGGAATGGACAAGAGTTTTGGGGTAGGTCATGATGGAGGTGAGAGAAGCCATGATGGGTAGGTCAAGCCAAGTAGAAATCGAGTAGATTATATGGAATTGACTAAGTAGGCCGATAGCACTCGGCCATGAGTTGGGAACCACCACAAACCCGGACTTACTTTGATTCCAATGACTGCTCGATGGATTGTCTCCCTAGTCTCGTTCTTGCAGGTTAGGTTGATCGAGCTCTCCAAGTAGCAATTACGCCCGGAGATGTTTAACTTGGTTAGACATATCATGTAATTTTTTATGCTTGTATCCCTATGTGAATATATTACATGCGAAAAGATACGATTATGCACATTGAATGCTTTAATGCATATCTCATAGTTGGATTTATTACACTTAAGGAGATGCCTTGTATTATTAAGATGTATTAGATGTTTTGATAATTATGTCCTATATGAATGCATGGAAAATATTTTGATCTATTAAGATGCATCTTAAATTTTGGATGGCTTGTATTGTTAGGATGTATTAGATGTTTTGATAATTATGTCTTATATGAATGCATCATGTATTGGAAGATGTTTTGACGATGCATCATACATTTTGGATGTTTAGGATGTATTAGATATTTTGATAATTATGTCCTAAATGAATGCATGGAATATGTTTTGACCTATTATTATGCATCATACATTTTGGATGCTTATATTCTGAACTAACATTCATATTTGGGGAGAAACTTTGTTTAATTAAAATATATTAGCATTAATGGATGCATCAAATACGATACGATAGTATCAAAATATCGATCATTTTGATACTTATGTCATGGGCAAATAGAGTGCAAGAAAATGCTTAACCTAAGCTTTTTTTAGCTTATATCATAGGATGATATATTATAGCTGGAAAATATTTTGCCCAATTAATTAGAGTGCATTAATATTTTGACTATGACGATTGAGTCGGATAATATAGATGCTTTATGAGTTTATAATGCATCGGGGACGATGAGATGGGCACTTTGGATGCTTGCTTCAATGAAGAGATGCTTTGGTCATGATAGCTATTTATTCAATTAGTTTTGTCGCAATCGGGTGCTTTAGATATTATATTCGTGAGAATGCATTGAATGTGAGAAGACGCTTTAGCTACCACAATTATGTCCAACAAAACAAAAAAACACTTGTTATATATGTCAATATTAATATTAAAATAATTGAATGTGTGGTATAGTGGCAAGGGGCCTTCCTTCTTGCTGATGCTTCAAAGTTATTTTCTCGAGGGACTTCAATTGATTATTACTATCAAACTGGAAAGTGAGAGGATAAAAAAATTTATCAAAGATTAATAATAAAAAAATATATATCAAAAAATAGATATTGATAAGGGTAAAAATGACGATGTGACACACCATGATGTCAGTCGACGCCTCATGCCTCGATCGACGCAACTGCACTCGGTTAACCGAGCCGGAACACTGGTCGAGGCGCATTAACACCTAACTCAGGCTTGGTTCTTTACGCCACGCCAACCCCATGTCAGACGCTATCAGCCTGCCTCCTGTAGGCAGCCACATCAGGTAACATCAAACTCATCTATAAATACCTTAGAGTTCTAAACGAACGTGGAGGAGGACGAACTCACACACAACACTTGTATGGAGGCATCTTTTCCTCCAAAACCCTCTCCACATCGCTAACTTGATCGTCGGAGGGGTCGGGCCGAGCTCCCGGCCCGACCTGTGTGCAGGTGCGAGACGATGTCGCCTCTTCCCGGCGCTGCGGCGGAGCTTCCTCCCGACCCGAACCACCGTGCTCGGCCACCGGGAGACCCCGAGGGACGCCGCCCGAGATCCCGGACATCCGGACCCTCGAACCGAGCCGCATCGGCCTCGAGGCCACAACTTAAAAAGTTGTTTCCCACAACATATATAATATTTAATATGATTCGATAAATTTATCTCATTTATATTCATGGTGAAAACTAAATTTTTCAGATCAATTATAAAATTATTAAGTTGCATCATCTCACATAAATCTTAAAGAATTTATGTTATATATATATATATATATATATATATATATATATATATATATATATATATATATATATATATAATTTGTAGGTCCTTAATACAGAAGCACGACTTAACAAGACAGAAACCAAATACTTAGGAAGCCAAATAACTACTTTAGGCCTGCAGGAAAAGTTGTGATTCATGTACTGCTCGGCATGATCATCCCTGCTACTCCTCCAGCTCGAAGGCTGACACCGGGAAGCTGTCGGATAACCCAGTGCCGGTCTTGAAGGTGATCTTCCCCGTCGAGGGATCCTCGACGCGCATCTCAACGACGGAGAGCCACAGTAGTAGCTCCTTGGTCTTCACCCCCGTCATCTTGTGCATCTTGCGCTTCTCCACGAATGCCGTCACCTCAGGGGCGTACGACACCGCCCGCTTGATCTTCTTGAAGGTGTGGTCATTCTTCTTCTTCTGGATCAGCCATATGAACCCAGCCGCGCGGTTGTACCCGAACTCTTGGATGTCCTCGAGGGGGAAGAGCCCCCTCGGGAGCTCCAGTTCTTGAAGCAGTTGGATGGATTTCTTGCGGCAGAGGGCGTCACCGGTGAAGACCTCAGCACCGTGGCGATGGATTTCGATGGTGTGGAGAGCCATGTCGTCGATAAGTAAAGTGGTTTGGAAGCTAAAGAGCAGTGCAGAAGAGGATGAGGAAGAGAAGGCAAAAGGGCTGATGAAACGAAGATGGGAGGGAGATGGTATTTATAGGTGAGAAGTACGAATAGGTTCCATAGAGTAGGTCTTCTTTGGAGCGCAGTCAATAATTGCCGGGAGATGAGCACTTGGGATGTGTGAGCGAGACGAGCGACGGCAGCCAAGTCAGTGAAACGACCAAGTCGGGTTATTGCAACGGGCTCCATCTCGATGGATTTGGTCTCAACGTCTAAACCACGCATGCTTTAAGTAGTCAAACATAATCATACGAAGACACGTCAAAGCCTTCTTACTTGCATTTGTAAATATTATATGAAATGATAACAATCCAAGCAGGGCACATCTGATTCAAATAACATCATCTACATTTGAGAAGATCAAATGCTCGATCATGCTTTAATATCGAAAATATTAGACTTTATAAAAAATACCTCCAACATAAATAGAATTTTCAAGTGGAGATCTACTTTCGACACCACGACTTGAAAAGGTTCCAAGCTCATAGAATTATGTCACACTGATTATTTAAAAATATATTAAAATTTTAGATATATCTTAGATCCGATATTAAGTCAATCCAAGCACTTAAATCCTACCTACGTATTCTTTAACTTGGTCATAACGACCGTTGTACTACTAAAATTATTGTCTTATTTGACTCCTGAAGGACGGCCACTCTTAGAGTTTTGGTCACAGCTTCAAGCATGCGTGGTTTAGACGTTGAGACCAAATCCATCGAGATCGAGCCCGTTGTAATAACCCTACTTGGTCGTTTGACTGACTTGACTGCCCTACAAAGAAGACCCAATTACTATATGGGTCTTACATGACATGCGCATATCATGGCTTGTTTGCGTCGTATACCCATTACGAGACTCCTCCTTCTCTCACCTATAAATACCATCTCCCTCCCATCTTCGTTTCATCAGCCCTTTTGCCTTCTCTTCGTCATCCTCTTCCGCACTGCTCCTTAGCTTCCAAACCACTTTAGTTATCGACGACATGGCTCTCCACACCATCGAAAGCCATCGCCACGGTGCTGAGGTCTTCACCGGTGACGCCCTCTGCCGCAAGAAATCCATCCAACTGCTTCAAGAACTGGAGCTCCCGAGGGGGCTCTTCCCCCTCGAGGACATCCAAGAGTTCGGGTACAACCGCGCGGCTGGGTTCATATGGCTGATCCAGAAGAAGAAGAATGACCACACCTTCAAGAAGATCAAGCGGGCGGTGTCATACGCCCCTGAGGTGACGGCCTTCGTGGAGAAGCGCAAGATGCACAGGATGACGGGGGTGAAGACCAAGGAGCTGCTACTCTGGCTCTCCGTCGTTGAGATGCGCGTCGAGGATCCCTCGACGGGGAAGATCACCTTCAAGACCGGCACTGGGTTATCCGACAGCTTCCCGGTGTCAGCCTTCGAGCTGGAGGAGTAGCAGGGATGATCATGCCGAGCAGTACATGAATCACAACGTTTCCTGCAGGCCTAAAGCAGTCATTTGGCTTCCTAAGTATTTGGTTTCTGTCTTATGTTACATGTACCAACGTTACGTCGTGCTACTGTTGTATTAAGGATCTACAAATTATATATATATATATATATATATATATATATATATATATATATATGTGTGTGTGTGTGTGTGTATGTGTAAAAGTTAAATTCTTAAAGATTTACATAAGTGAATGTCAATAATCTTGTAATTTATCTCATAAAGAATTTAATTTTTTTATGAATATAAATGAGATTTATCGAATCATATTTAATATTATGTCAACTTTTTGATACGCTTTTGATTACTAATCTTTCATAGATTTTTTTATCCTCTCACTTACCAATACAAATGACCGTAGTTGGTTTGATAGTAATAGTCAATCCAAGTCCCTGGAGACATTGACTTTAGAAAGTTGAGTCATGTAGTCAATCGAAACTTGACTTAAAGACGGTAGATTTGCTATAGGCGAAAGCTTTTTAGGCATCACCAAGAAGGAATGCCCCCTTCCTATCTTCTTCCTCACCCTTTAATATAAAAACTCATTTTTAATATAAAGAAAAGAGAGACTTTTATGAAGTATTTGCATCTACATTTGTACACTTCGAGTTATTAACTTGAGCGTCATAGTGTCCGGGTCTAGAAACTTCTTCCGACCTCAATTTTCATGCATATAGCACCTAAGGAGCCTGACGTTTCCATCTTGAAAGTACTCGAATAACCTTACGCATATGAGTTCAGACCATGTTAGGCTAATCAAGACGTCAACGATATTTTTCTCTAATATTTTGGTGCTAAAAGGAGGGCCTGATTTCGTAGGAACATTCGTCAACCAACCCTCTTAACGAATTGTTACATACTTAATTGGTTTTGCTTAAGTTATACAATACCCTTGCGTGTCTATCCGCAAAGGGTTTTCTAGTCATAGGTGCCCTATAAGCCAATCACGTGAGTGATGGCACATGTGATATGATACGTATTTTAATTTTTTTTATTATATTATTTGATATTTTATCACTTTATATTATATTATATTATATATATATATATATATATATATATATATATATATATATATATATATATATATATATATATATGGATCTGTGCAATGGGAATCGGATCGTGATAAGATCACGATAATGAGATTGATTTGTCTTTAAACATAAACCCTAAATAATCCTAGTCATAAGTTACTCGAGAGAGACATCGAGATAACAAGATAGACTACTGTATTATATACTCGTACATATGATGGAGGCGATTGGTCTCATAGCTGCTTATGTGGGGACACTAGGGATCAAGTGCAAGTGCTCATTGAAGAATGAGTTCACTGATTGATCCGCACACGAAATGCTGAATGGTTAATAATACTTTGTTATCAAACAACGATTATGTTATCCCAGTGATGTATCTGGTCCATAGACTTGAGACATAAGGATGTCCTATATGAGTACTTCACTCTTTGATACTAGATTTATAAGTCTGGAAGTTCCAGATCTAGCACAGCCGATCATCGGGAGTGGTAGCCAACCTTACAAGGGCTATTAAGTGTCAATAGAGGATCATTCACTCTCGGTGTCATGAGAATATCTTATGTGTTCTTGTTCAGATAAATTCCTGGTTAGGGTCATTCGGATTGAGAGAGAAATGGTTCTTTGAGAGAATTCGATTAAAGCGAGACTCGAGTAGAAATTATATGGGCCTGATAGTACCATACCCGGTATACGGTCTCTAGGGTATTAGATGGATGATGGACTATAGGTACACGATGACTAAGGATAGTCAAGTCTAATAGATTGGATTTCCTTGTATCGTCTAGGGACTACGACGTAGTGGCATACTACATCCGTAGTCGATGAGTCGAGTGAATTATTATGAAGATAATAATTCACTGAGCCAAAAGGAGTTCTAACAAGTATGACTCATGACCAGCTCGATATTGGGCTTAAAGGATCACACTCATATGGTGGGTGTTGCAACTAGCAGATATTTAGATATGAGATATCCGTCGAAGTCCCTATCTTATTTTATATTCAATAAGCCTTGAATTATTAGATCGCATGGTTGAGATTCAATAAAAGCTAATAAGAGATTATTGGGTAGAGACCTACTAATCTAAGAACTTTAGTAATTGGATGAAGATCTATTATCCAATTGGGCAGGATCCATTAAGGTTGATAAGAGACCTCTATAAATAGGAGGGAACCAAAGGTCTATAGGTTAGAACTTCTTTTAGTTATCACCTCCTATTCTCCTCTCACCTTCTCCTCTTCAAATAGTAAACTTGGAGATTTTAGGAGCGTCATTGCAATCCTGTTGTGTGGATCACCGCTAGAGAGGAGGGCGCTTGACCTTCTTCATCCACTCCTACAGATCTGTAGAGATTCAGGGATTTACGATCTTCTTAGATAAAACACAATCTTTCATATACGTAGTTTTCGATTTTATGAATTTTATGCATCAACTTTCGCACGACGACAAACACATTATTAAGAAATTTAGAGATTTTTGTTTTTTGTTTTTTCGCTGCGCATGTGATGTCGCCCCTAGATTTTCCTATAGGGTCAGCCTCCCAAAAACCTCTTATAGTCGCTTAAGGACCTACACAAGACAAGATGGTTAGAAAAAATATTTAACTTAGGATCCATAAGCAATCATTTCAAAAAACATTTGATAGACAATGCAAATTACAAATATAGACTTTGCAAGTTCTGAATGATCATACGATAAAGGATCCAAGGTTGTCCATTGTGGCCAATAGTTCCTACAAGTGCCCAAATAACACTATTATATAACAAAGTAGCGAATTAGCGCTAGACACTACTCTAAAAGCTAATCCAGTCATGTATCACCTAAATAACTCCTGATTGCTATACTGGCTGACACTCTACACTACTTTTTGAAACTAGAAAACACTAAAAATGGTTGCTTAGATGGCCTATTTCTAGACAGTTTTGCCTTTACACGATGACTGCATACAACTTGTGTTTATAAGCTTGAAACGATTATAAAAGCAAACCAAAATGGGACTGCTAAACCTATTACAAGCTCTCTACATATTGTGTAAAACATAAACAAAATCGAAAGATATTGAGAGTATTAAATTAAACACAATGTTTATAGTTTTGTCTATGATATTCTCTCTTACTTATTCTTTCAACACTCTTATCAAAGCCTTTACAGGCATTGTATTCCTCATCTTTATTGAATTTTTAATCTTATACTATAATTGCAATGTGCCTCTTGGCTCCCAACTACACTCCACCACTATTGTTAAGTAGTTGAACTTTGATCTATCATGCTACTTCAACTCGCCAACAACTCTGACTCTAGTGTGGGGTCGATCAAGTTGTGCTGATCCTTGTTGGTTTATATAGATCATTCAAATGAAAAAAAAGACCTTTCTTGTTATGCGCAAGTCTCACAAATGTCTCATGCCACTTGAATTGGGTGGATGTCTATTAGAGTTTTAATGGGTACTGCCTAAAAGACTTTGAAGTTTTTGAGGTTTTTCCTTCGTAATATTTATCCATCGATTCCTT